GTGTGTGTTTGTGTGTGTGTGTGTGTGTGTGTGTGTGTGTGTGTGTACAGTGGCCAATTAGAGCAGCTCAAACAGCTGTGAATAAACTCAGTTTCACTCTGGAAGACTTTCAATTACACTGGCCTGTGCTCTCAAACACACACACACACGCATGGTCATCTGGGAGCTCAAACCATGAGCCATACTGGAGTGCATCAAACTCTCCTCTCTTATTTCTCTCTCAACACACACATCGTGCAAGTGTGGACTGAGGATAATGGGTGCTCTTGTGATGAGAGATGCTGCCAGCGTGTATATGTGTGTGTGTGTGTGTGTGTGTGTGTGTGTGTGTGTGTGGAGACACTAAGGTCAGGCTGGTTAATGAAGCAGTCTGTTAGTGCTAATGATGATTACCTCTCCCCGCCTAAACATTCATTCACTGTAATCACCACACACACACACACAGCTCCAACCTCACAAAAAATTATTCAGGTAGAAGTTTTAGAAATTAGAGACTTGCACCAGTGATCCTGTGAAAAAGGTCAGTGACTTTCTAAAAGGTTAACACCATGGCTGCTTTAGCTGAGTGGTTAAAGATTTGAGCTGCTAACCAAATTGGTTATTTCAACAGAGCAAGGAAGTTCTCTATTACCATTCTCCTTTAAACATTTGATCCTTCCGTCACAGAAATGATTCTATTGAATCACAGAGTATGACAACTGTGTCCTCACTTCTTCATCATTTAAAGACGTAGCTGTTCTTTCTAGCTCTGTTAGCTGCTTGTCTACGCTCCTTGTTAGTGAATGTAGATCAGCGTCTTTCATCATTCATTGGCTCTGGGTACTGCTGGCAGCGATCAGCAGACTTGTCACTGAAGTGTGTGTATGATTGACTCCAGGCACATTTACTGAAGATCAGTAAACACAGTCGAGAGAACTGAGCAAAACACAATGCACTCCAAAGAAAAACAATTAAAACAACAGCTAATTACTACAGAACACAGACACAGCTCAAGATAGCAAGATATCATTATCTGCGCACACACACACACAATTACGTACAGTAATAAAAAAATAAAATAAAATAAAATAAAGGAATACATTTATAAATTATACATCAGATGACTGCAGAGTATGTGAATAAATTAATTAACAATAAATAAACAAATAAAATAAAATAAAACATGTTTTTAGGGATGTATCCAAACTGAGGTTTGTCAGATTTAGCAAACTTTTTTTTTTCTTCTTAAAAAATTCATCCCCAAAGTACGGCTATATTAGAAACACACACACTTTAAGTGTGGAAGCTGTTCTTTAAAGGTCACACGAGCACTTAGGCAGCAAGAATAGTCAGAAACCATCTACTTGTTTCTCTCTTTTGCCACCAGTTCCTTCAGGTCGAACATACAAATTTATGTCCTCATTTGTCACAAAAACGCGCGCACACACACACACACACACACACCTGTCAGCGTGATTAACTGTGTGACTGACAATTTGAAGCACATAACTGAAAGCTGAAAATTACTGAAATGATCCAACTGTGTTTGACATTAACCCTTCAGAAGGAGAGAGCAGAACAAAATAAAGGGGAAAAAAATGAATAATAATATAAAAAATTATTTTAAGCATGTCGGAGGAGCCTGTAGTTCAACTTTTATCAGTGAACTAAAGACCCAGATTGCGTGAACAGCTGTTACAGCATAAAAACCTTGTAAAGAAGCGCTAATTAAAGACGTGTTGAAACTTGCCTTCTCTGTCTGTTCAAAGAAAGCAATGAGGAAAATTTTCAGACAGCATGATTCTCAAATTTTTAACCAATTAAAACCAATTTTTATATTTTTCGATTCACAAACCGTAAAAAACACAGAGAATCATCTCTCTGTGCATACCAGGGCTCCAGGTAAAAAAAAAAAAATGTTGTCATGTGTCTTGCACACATCCAGTCTGTTACTAACATGCAATTATATAGGAGGTTTTTAATTTTACCTTTAGCTCCTTGCATTCTTTCTTATCATGTAAACAAGAAGTTAAGTAAAACTATGAATATGCAATATAGCGCATAAATTTAGCAAAATGCTCCTATTTATAATTATTTTTTCTAGCTGACTGATTCAAAAATAATTATTTATAATTATTTTTTCTAGCTGACTGGTTATTCTGAGGTAAATTATTGTTTGTGGCATTGTTTACAAGTTTTACACGTTTTCTGCAGTTTGAAACACTCAATGAACGATTACATGAGACATTTCAGTAAGTTGTACTGTATCTTAAAATATACCTTTTGATGTCCATTCATGTTAATTTCATACTATAGTAGTAAAGAGAAAGATATGATTGGTTTACGTGCCGCTTGAACTGAGGCGCTATAACGATCGCTCAAGCTTGAATTTCGTTATGAATTTGGCAGAATTTTAAAGCTTACACTTACTTTATTAAAATGTAACAAAGCGCAAAGCTTATTGCGATTATTGGAAGGCAAATGCGCTACAAATAATATGAAGTTCACGCATTAACAGAACACAGCATTTAGACTAAAGATCTTGATAACTTTCAGCAGGTGTGCCGTCAACGCTGCTGTTCGGCAGAGATGAGGACTGTTTGAAAGTCTTTTTTCCACTAAAACTTTGATGCGCATCGTCTCAGTTTATTACGTCAACATAACAAAAGATGTGAACACAAAACAAGCAGGAAAAAAGTCATTACATGCAAATTTTTTAATCATAACATGTACATTTCTATAGTCGCCAGTGGCGACCTCAGCAAAAAAATATATTTTTGGTCGCAAATGCGACCATTTTAAGCCGCGGGCACACTACACTTTTTGTTCCATTGACATTCATATGCATGCGAATGCGTCAGACCGGAAACACAAGCCCGTGCGAAAAGTTTTCGCTGCGTTCCAAAGTTCAAGCTTGGTGAACTCTGGCCTGCGAATTTGCATCAAGTGACACCGTGTGACCAACGGCAGATCGATACGTCACAGCATGGCCTCCTATCTGAATTAAAAGAACATAAATTTAAAACTGCAGCGCTGCAGGAAAGTGGAGTAGATTGTGTTTTTACATTTTAGGTGTATTATTATTGTTTGTGTGTTGAATTTCAGTTTTTAAAAAGACGCTGCAGAGCATGACGTCATATCACGACCGTTGCAGCTTCCGAACGAATTTCGCATGCTCAAAGTGTAGTGTGACCACGGCTTTAGTCGCAGTCTGGAGCCCTGCGTACAAAAACTTCTTCATGGTCAGGACATATACAAGCCTTCTTCTCTGCTCCAAACCAAAAAATTATTACCCACAATTCTACTGCTACTCACAGCTGTACACAAAAGCCCGTTGCAGGGATCCAGGTCATTAGAACCACATGGGTCAAGCAGGAGCCAACAAACAAAGGAAGTAAAAGGGAGAGATCAAGTTTGTTTATTAAAGCTACATACAGAGTCCAATCTCTCTCTTTTTGTCGGCCTCATTTCATTTGTCTGACTTAATTATTTTGATGATCATATCATTTATGATGATGATAACCACAGAAGTCACTAGAGAGACTGAGGAAGTGATGACTCTTTTGGAAATTTCTAACTAATCCTGATATATTTATATTTAAAGACCGTTCGCGCAAGGAAATGGACATGAGAGGTCAATAATCAGTGCTGCGAAAATCTGAGCTGAGAGAGTCAGAACATCTATTTACAATAGAACAGGAAGGTGATATGGAGAAAAAGTGAATTATTAATACATAAAGCATGTGCAATATCACATCTTACAAATAGAAAATAAAAACA